CCTTCTCCTCTCTGTCAACGCTCTCTGGTTTCATTTAAAAGAGTCGATCATCAGATATTGTCCAAGATTAACCTTCAGGGTGGATACAGCTCACTCACACCAGGGGCCTATTCACATCATCATTTACCCAGAATGCTTTGCGTGTAAATAAAATGGCTCCCTCCGTGTAATATATTTTTATACTTTTAATTTAAAAAATGATAAAAACTGAACAGCCTACAGTATTTTTACTGTCTTTATTTTACAGTTAAAACATTTGTTTATCAAATAAAGTCTAATGTTACAACTAATCAGGGATCCCTTTAAAGTATTTTTACTAGAACTGGAGTAAACAGAGTGTTGGTACACTGTCTAACATCACAGACAGTAGATTAGTAGACAGTAGATCCAGACCTTTCTCACCTTCTTATCCACATCAGTGCAGTGTCACATCTGTTGTCTCAGTGTTACTGCACCCACCAGCAGCTCACTGTTTTACCACATTAACAATCACTTTACAGCAGCTTGGCCGCTCGCTTGTTAGTGTCACATGTTTCTGCTCGTATAAAGAGCAGCAGGGAGTTCCTTTTGTCATGATATGCACTTTGGCTGTGCAAAGTTCTAAACAGAAACGTGACAAATTGGGCTTGTGTTGGGCTTTTATCCTAAAATGACATGTATAGGTCAAATGTTATAAAACAGCCAGTTTAATCTACTGTCTCAAAAATGTTTTAAAACAATTGTATAGTTAAGTCAGAAATATTTGCAGTTGCTTCCTTTATCTTCTTTCTTTTACAAATACAGAGATATTCCTCTGAGCTATGCTCTTCTGCATTTATGCTCCTTGCTCTGCACACAGATATAAGAGTGGTCTCAATGTTTTCTTTAGCTTGTAAGAAAATAAAAAAAAAAACAATTATTGTTCTAAAGGGTTACTAAAGGGTTGTTTTAAAGTTATGTACATTTATGTTTATATTGTAAATACACAAAAATGTTTCAGCATGTGCCAATTCACATTATTCTACTTCCTGGATTCGACAGGATTAACATTCACCGCTTCCTGTTCCTGTTGACGACGTAAAGCTAATGTTGACAGAGTTTACAAAAGGCCCATAATTAAAGAATAACCTGGTTAACAAGGTCCACAGACAAAACTGTGTCATTTGAAAAGAGGACATAAGAAGCTTATATTGTTCCCTGTATTGAACAAATAAATAGGACATATTTTGTAAATTGAAGAAGTATACAGTATTTGAATTCCACTTCCTGTTTGTTTCTCTGTAAATCCTGGCACTGACACTGTTCAATAAGCTCATTGTTTTTAACAAACACCATAATTACCCCACTGTCTTAGAGGATTACGAATGGTTTAAGTGTGTGTGTGTGTGTGTGTGTGTGTGTGTGTGTGTGTGTGTGTGTG